ATCTGTACACAATTCCTGGAAGTTGAAAATGTCCCAGTTCTTCCATGGCCTGCATACTCACCAGACATGCCACCCATTAAGTATGTTTGGGATGCTTTGGATCAACGTGTACGACAGCATGTTCCAGTTCCCGCCTATATCCAGCAACTTCGCACAGCCATTGAAGAGGAGTGGGACAACATTCCACAGGCCACAATCAACAGCCTGATCAACTCTATGCGAAGGAGATGTGTTGCGCTGTATGAGACAAATGGTGGTTACACCAGATACGGACTGGGTTTCTGATCCACGCCCCTACCTTTTTTAAGGTATCTGTGATCAACAGATGCATATCTGTATTCCCAGTCATGTGAAATTATTAATTTTTATTGACTGATTTCCTTATATGAACTGTAACTCAGTAAAATCTTTGACATTTTTGCATGTTGCTTTTATTCTCAAATAAAGCTTTTATACTGCCAAATTCTCTAAAGCAACGTTGGAGGTGGCTTATGGTAGAGAAATCAACATTAAATTATCTGGCAACAGCTATGGTGGACATTCTTGCAGTCAGCATGGCCATTGCATGCTCCCTCAAAACTTGAGACATCTGTGGCATTGTGTTGTGTAACAAAATTGTACATTTTAGAGTGGCCTTTTATTGTCCCCAGCACAAGGTGCACCTGTGTAATGATAATGCTGTTTAATCAGCTTCTTGATATGCCACACCTGTCAGGTGGATGGATTATCTTGGCAAAGGAGAAATGCTAACTAACAGGGATGTAAACAAATTAGTTCACAACATTTTTGAGAAATAAGCTTTTTGTGCGTATGGAACATTTCTGTGATCTTTTATTTCAGCTCATGAAACATGGGACCATCGCTTTACATGTTGTGTTTATATATATATATTTTTCAGTGTAGATCATTTGAAAATAACAACAACGACAGGGCTCTTCAGGTCCAATGCAATGTCTCTCTACACAGAGTCATTGCTTTCACTTAGGATGACATTAAATCATATATTTCTAAATGTAATAAAAGGGATACTTCCGGATTTTGGCAATGAGGCCCTTTATCTACTTCATAAGAGTCAGATGAACTCGTGGATACCATGTCTATATCTCTGTGTCCAGTATGAAGAAAGTTAGAGGTAGTTTTGTGAGCCAATGCTAACTTGCATTAGCGCAATGACTTGAAGTCTATGGGTATCTTCTAGCATGCTAGCAGTGGCGGCTCCTGAAAAAATTCTCAGGAGGGGCAATTTTTCTGATGATTTAGGTGACCTACACACATTTAAAAAAAGATATGTCCAGCAACAACATGAAGACAGGGGCAGCATATAAGTCAATACCAGAAGCATTTATTGACTGATCTCAAAAGTGTTGGCTTACCAGGGTTGGTGGAGCCCTCAGTTTCATCTTTGCCTCGCAAAGCTAACTCAAACACTCCGCAAAACTTCACACACTGGATTAGCCGGCTGAGGATGTGGCGGTTCTTGCTAATGTCGTAGTAAATATATTTGTTATAGTGAATATGGAATATGATATGTTGAGTAAAATGTTGTGCTAAGATCTATTTAGGTCAGGAGCTGGTTATAAGTTCTGTTCCTATCCAATAACAATGGACAAAAGGGTCCTATCTTGTCAGCCTTGTCAGCAGGTGGCCAAGGACAACACCCACGCCATAGGCCTCTCAGTTCTTCCAACTCACGAGTTCTTGCTCTGAGGACACACACACACACAAACACACACACACACACATCATCACTGTTAAACACACACACACACATCATCACTGTTAAACACACACACACACACACACACACAAAAATCCCCTCTCTTAGGCTGAACATTTGAAGACAGAGAACCCGACTCAGAGCCAATGCAACAGTGACAGTAGCCTGCAGGGGACCTCGCCCAACTCATCAGGACCAATCAGAAGATCAGAACTACTAGATTGAACCTACTTCATTTATTGCATAAAATGTCTGCACACAATGTTTCGGGGCTCTCTTCAGATAATAATAATAATAATAATAATAATAATAATAATAATAATATGCCATTTAGCAGACGCTTTTATCCAAAGCGACTTACAGTCATGCGTGCATACATTTTTGTGTATGGGTGGTCCCGGGGATCGAACCCACTACCTTGGCGTTACAAGCACCATGCTCTACCAGCTGAGCTACAGAAAGTGGATACTCATGGATGCGCATTGCAATTGTAAAATGTCAACACAATTGGAGACACCACGTCATTTTTGGAGACATGTTATTGACAGTAAACTATTGTAGATGCGACTGCTAACTAACTAAAACATTTTAGCTGGCTAGCTAATCATCTTAGCTAAATGTGGGGCAAACAATTCAGTTATTTACCGTTAATTTGAGGGATTGGGGTGAAAGAAATCGAGTTACATAGTGATACTTTACGATATACTGTATTGACAATATCGCAATATTTTAGCGCTAGTTGGCTGTACCTGCACCAAAACACCATTATTGTTCCTTCATAGCTTGTTCTCAATCTTTTCACATTGGGAGCCAATTTGTTTTCAGCACTTTTATTTCCATGACTGATCAAAACTCGTTCTCATGGCTTTCTGATCCCTCTGCAACAGACATATGGTGCGCAATAAAATCACAGTATCGAATCGCAATACGTATAGAATCATGAGACTCGCAATGCTGATGCATATATCTTATCGTGAGGTTCCTGGCAATTCCCAGCCCAAGTTCATTTTTAAGAGTTTGACGAACGGGTCCGTGAACGCGATTCCAGATATATTTACCTCTGAATAAACTGCCTTTATTACACCATATCCACATCCAGTAAACTTGTGATTATCAACACTAACCTCATCGTTGTGGCGGCGGACAGCTAGCCTGTATCCCTCGTCATCCAGTTGAGTGAGTGGCAATGTCTTTTTTCGTTCGTACCAATTTTTGGAAAATCCTCGGGTGTAGGACTTTCCGCCTTTAGTAGAAACCTGTTGAATTATTAAATTTGGTCTGGGAGGTCCTAATTGTTTCGTTGCCAATTTATCTTCATTTGTTCGCCGACAAAAAGGAAATTCTTTCAAAGACACAACCGAGTTGCACTGAAGCCTAGCCATGTTGATAGTAGTAGTGAATTGATTGACGCTGCTACCCTCTCTTTTCTTAGTTACGTTCATGTGACGAAAGCGCGTAAGTGCAAGCCCACAGACACCCATTGAGATTGTATTGAAGGCTCTGAAATTTGAAAAAAATAGATTTTACATGGGAGTCTATGACAGAAGTTCTGGGCGATTTTCAATCTGACTGAAATCGCCCCAAAAGGGGGTGGAGCCATTTGAAGCACGACTTTAGCCTGATTCGACATTTAGTGGCAGTGTGGCACTGTGGCAGATCAGACGTATAGATTACAACACTGATAACTACTGTTGCCGTGATATAATTGATTAGAAAAAAAATCCCTTCCTTTTCCCGTTTGGCAGTGCGTCGCCCATATCGCCCTATTGAACAGGCCGTCCCTGCATGCTAGCAGATACCCAAAGACTTCCAGTTAACTGACTATGTGTGCTAGCGCTAGTTAGCAACTTCCTTCAAACTGCACGCATTAGTTCATCTGACCCTGGGAAAGTAGATAAAATCCTGAAGTATCCCTTTAAATATGAAAGTTTATAAATCATATATAAGCAAAAAAGGCACCTTGTCAGACCAGACCATGGCCATTTCAATTACCCAAACAGTCCATTCACTCAACCCTGGAATGTATCTGAAACGGAACCCCCCAAATTCACATAGGGCCTAGTTTAAAACCATATTGAAAGCATATATAGATATCCATATGGCTGTGCACAAAACCAAGTGGTGCAGTACCTTGAAGGGAGAGGTGTGACTTGAGCCTGCTGTTAACTTGTAGTAGCAACACACGTTCTGCTCAGATCTCTCCCATAACAAACCTCCACCAAACTCTAGCTAATGAATATCCAATTGCTACCAAACCCGTGATGCCAGAGCTCCACATAAGTCAAACATAAACTAGATAAAAAAAGCTTGCTTCCAGTCAAAAGCAGCAGTCCTTTTGGTCTAACTCTGGGTTACACTTACAGTATTGTCTGAGCCACAATATCCTCTTTGGAGTCAACATGCACACACGTTGCTTTCTATAGTTTTTCTTTTACATTGATCACATTTGAGCGCTATAATTATTTGAAATTTTTTACTAATCATGTAAAACATTAAGAATGGTTACTAGGTCATGTAGACGTTCAATGTTCCAACATCACTTGGGAAGAGTGGACCGCAGTCTGTCAGTCTATTGTCTCCTTTTTTGGGTGAACTATCCCTTTAAGTACTGCAATGAACTACAGGGAGTACAGGTTTTAAACTAAGCCCACAACAAGAGGGGTGTGAACAGTTTGTGTCATGAACAGGGCTTGTGCATGAAGGGGGCGTGGGATTTCCCCAATACTGGACAATTTGGGAAACCCTGTGCTAAATGACTAAAATGTAAATATAAATTGAATTCTTGAGCAGCACAAGGGTTTCCCAAATTGCCAGTATCATTTGGATAATGGCAATATGGTATGGCCAGTGCAGCATATCTTTTTGCAATCATGTACTGCACAATATGAAGTCACAGTGTTGCGTAAAATGTATGTCATCGGTGCATATTTGGTCTAAATTTTGCTCTGTGCTTGTGTGTGTCCCAGCAAGTGTGGAAAGCCAGACACTTCAATTTTGTTCTCTATTGCATCAGATGAATCGACACAGAATATAATAATATAGAGTATATTAAATGAGAACCTTGCACATCTACAATATTCCAGACCATAAATGCTTATTAAAACTATTTCTGAATTCAGAAAGGGATCGAAAGAGAGAGAGAAAAGGGGTGATGAGAGAGAAGGAAAAAGATAGAGAGAAAGAGGAGGAAAGAAAGACAGAGTGTGTGTGTGTCTAGTCCAGAGGACAGGTCCAGTGGTGTGTGTGTGTGTGTGTGTGTGTGTGTCTAGTCCAGAGAGGACAGGTCCAGTGGTGTTAGGGGCTCTCTCCAGTAGGAGAAGTGGCTGAACTCAGGGCAGTCGAAGGAGGACGACATCCCATCCTCAGAGATCATAGGGAAGAAGTGTTCCACCAGCTCGCTCAGGTGAGTGTACCTGTGACACACACACACACACACACACACACACACACACACACACACACACACACACACACACACACACACACACACACACACACACACACACACACACACACACACACACACACAATAATCAGGAGTCTACTGATATATTCAGACTCTTGGAACAGACATGACAGCATGCTCAAAACCAAAGCATGCAGCTATCAGGAGCATTTTTTAAAATTAAAGAATGTTATTAAATTGAGAAACTGTACTGTATGTATTGAGTGTGCACTTATGGAGGAGTGGCCTGATGATTGTCACTCCTCTATTGGCTAGTGTACTTACGAGGACTTGTTGCCTTTGTTCTTCTCCTGGATGAGTTCTCCCTTGGGGTTCACAGTGAAGATCCTGGTGTCACGGACACCCACTTCCTTATAAGCATAGGCATCCTGGGAAATCCAGACAACACTCAAATCAAGCTTTATTTAAAATACATTTGAAAAACTTGAATCCATCCCCAAGAGAATGGATTGAGAAACAATGGCCAAACACAGACAGCGAGTCAGCGGTGTGTGTGTGTGTGTGTGTGTGTGTGTGTGTGTGGCAGTGTCTGAAATCTGTCTTGCCTACCACCTACTAAAACTACATACCGTGTACTTATCATACTACATACTATTTAGAACGTACTGTTTAGTAAAAATGTATACAGTGAGCAACAAATATCAACATACTAGGCTCACCTACACTGAGAATGCACCGTCAAATGCGCAAATTGTGTTGTTTCCCGCCATTTGTTAATTTTGGTACAGCCCGTCCCCTATAAAACGTTATATTTTCACATACCCAAAGCGCCTACTATTACAAACGCAAGTCGGGGAATCGGACGCAGCCTGTGTGTGTGTGACTGTGTGTGTGACTGTGCGTGTGTGTGTGTGACTGTGCGTGTGACTGTGCGTGTGTGTGACTGTGTGTGTGTATGTGTGTGACTGTGTGTGTGTGAGACTGTGTGTGTGTGTGACTGTGCGTGTGTGTGTGACTGTGTGTGTGTGTGTGTTTGTGACTGTGTGTGTGTGTGTGGCTCACATTGGTCCTGTTACCAAAGGCTGCATAGAAGGGCTGCCTCTGGGGGTTGAACAGGTCTCGGATGTCAGTGAGGCAGGCGATCTTGAACACCTCCGGCTTCTTCTCTACCACCTCTCTGTGCAGGGCAGAGAAGAAACTGCTGGGGGCCAGCAGCACGGGGCCCTTGGGGAGGACAGTGCCTTTGTCGTTCACCCACTGCAGGTAGCCCTTGGTGATGTCGGCCATGCCGATGGCCCGTGCCGAACAGTACAGGAACTTGTAGCCGTTTCTAGGAGGGAAGGAGGGAGAGAGAGAGAGGGGGAGAGAGAGAGGGGAGGGGTTACCCATTGGTAATAAAACAACAACTGGATACAAGCATCTTGACAGTGATCAATGGCTTCCAATGAGAAGCACAGAATGGCACATTCATTTAGAGTGGGAAGTGTCATTTTACAATGTCGCCATTTTGGCTCAAAATACAGAGTTTTGGAACCAACTCATGCACAGTAAATACTGATGGTGGAGGGAACGGCTGCGTCTTGTTCATTATGAACCAAACAGAAGAAAACGGACTGAAAGAGAGAGAGACTATCTGTAATATTAATAAATGCTCATCTTCGTTTACAGTTTCAAAACGTGACTGGTTACACTTACTGGTGGATTTTGTGGTAGAGACGGGCGATGCCGTGGTGTGTCCAGTCTTTCCCCAGCTGAGGTAGGATATGACCCAGGGCATCAGACCTGTAATGGGCAAGGAGACAGATCATAAAGCACTGAACACACACAACACACACATATTCACATGTACATACAGATTGGATCATACAGGGCCATGATGGTGCTAAACTCTCTCTAAAAACACTGGGTAGTACCTTTCTTACATGCAAACACACACACACACACACTCACTTTGTGATGGTGCCATCGATGTCTGAGATGACGACGCGGTCGTCCCAGTTCCACAGGTAGATGGCGGCTTCGCAGCGACAGGTGCCCTGGTACTGAGTGGTCACGCTGAACATAACCTTGTTGGCCCCCTCACGCAGGTTCAACTGCTCCTGATCGCAACACAGGGTAGGGATTATGAGGCAGTGTGTGTGTGTCTGTGACCGTGTGTGTGACTGTGTGTGCAGGGTATTTCTGGATCAAACAGGGGCTTAGGTGTTGGGCGTGGCAGGACATTTTTGAGGCCCCCATCTTGGCGGTGTAGAGAAAGTTGAGCATTTTAAAGCCAATTTCCTGTAATTCTACACATTTGTCCATGGACCTGAGAAATGTTTGTAGTTTTAAAGCAAATGTCCTGCGATTCTACATATTCTGCCCTGGAGCTGATAGAAAATGTTGCCATTTTAAAGCTAATTTCCAACAATTCTATGCATTTTGCCATGGCTACTGCTGTGTTCTTTTGCTCAAACATAACAAAAAAAGATACTGCTAAATTCATTGCTTTTGGAATGTTCAATTCTCCCTGACTGTCTAACTTTTATTTTGGTGATTGTTAGTTATCAAACATGATATAGATATATATATATATATATATATATATATACATACAGTGGGGAGAACAAGTATTTGATACACTGCAGATTTTGCAGGTTTTCCTACTTACAAAGCATGTGGAGGTCTGTAATTTTTATCATAGGTACACTTCAACTGTGAGAGACGGAATCTAAAACAAAAATCCAGAAAATCACATTGTATGACTTTTAAGTAATTAATTTACATTTTATTGCATGACATAAGTATTTGATACATCAGAAAAGCAGAACTTAATATTTGGTACAGAAACCTTTGTTTGCAATTACAGAGATCATACGTTTCCTGTAGGTCTTGACTAGGTTTGCACACACTGCTGCAGGGATTTTGGCCCACTCCTCCATACAGACCTTCTCCAGATCCTTCAGGTTTCGGGGCTGTCGCTGGGCAATACGGACTTTCAGCTCCCTCCAAAGATTTTCTATTGGGTTCAGGTCTGGAGACTGGCTAGGCCACTCCAGGACCTTGAGATGCTTCTTACGGAGCCACTCCTTAGTTGCCCTGGCTGTGTGTTTCGGTTCGTTGTCATGCTGGAAGACCCAGCCACGAGCCATCTTCAATGCTCTTACTGAGGGAAGGAGGTTGTTGGCCAAGATCTCGCGATACATGGCCCCATCCATCCTCCCCTCAATACAGTGCAGTCGTCCTGTCCCCTTTGCAGAAAAGCTTCCCCAAAGACTGATGCTTCCACCTCCATGCTTCACGGTTGGGATGGTGTTCTTGGGGTTGTACTCATCCTTCTTCTTCCTCCAAACACGGCGGGTGGAGTTTAGACCAAAAAGCTCTATTTTTGTCTCTTCAGACCACATTACCTTCTCCCATTCCTCCTCTGGATCATCCAGATGGTCATTGGCAAACTTCAGACGGGCCTGGACATGCACTGGCTTGAGCAGGGGGACCTTGCGTGCGCTGCAGGATTTTAATCCATGACGGCGTAGTGTGTTACTAATGGTTGTCTTTGAGACTGTGGTCCCAGCTCTCTTCAGGTCATTACCCAGGTCCTGCCGTGTAGTTCTGTGCTGATCCCTCACCTTCCTCATGATCATTGATGCCCCACGAGGTGAGATCTTGCATGGAGCCCCAGACCGAGGGTGATTGACCGTCATCTTGAACTTCTTCCATTTTCTAATAATTGCGCCAACAGTTGTTGCCTTCTCACCAAGCTGCTTGCCTATTGTCCTGTAGCCCATCCCAGCCTTGTGCAGGTCTACAATTTTATCCCTGATGTCCTTACACAGCTCTCTGGTCTTGGCCATTGTGGAGAGGTTGGAGTCTGTTTGATTGAGTGTGTGGACAGGTGTCTTTTATACAGGTAACGAGTTCAAACAGGTGCAGTTAATACAGGTAATGATTGGAGAACAGGAGGGCTTCTTAAAGAAAAACTAACAGATCTGTGAGAGACGGAATTCTTACTGGTTGGTAGGTGATCAAATACTAAATTTAATTACTTAAAAATCATACAATGTGATTTTCTGGATTTGTGTTTTAGATTCCATCTCTCACAGTTGAAGTGTACCTATGATAAAAATTACAGACCTCTACATGCTTTGTAAGTAGGAAAACCTGCAAAATCGGCAGTGTATCAAATACTTGTTCTCCCCACTGTGTGTGTGTGTGTGTATATATATATATATATATATATATATATATATATATATATATATATATATATATATATATATATATATACACAGTGGGGAGAACAAGTATTTGATACACTGCCGATTTTGCAGGTTTCACATTGTATGATTTTTAAGTAATTAATTTGCATTTTATTGCATGACATAAGTATTTGATCACCTACCAACCAGTAAGAATTCCGGCTCTCACAAACCTGTTAGTTTTTCTTTAAGAAGCCCTCCTGTTCTCCACTCATTACCTGTATTAACTGCACCTGTTTGAACTTGTTACCTGTATAAAAGACACCTGTCCACACACTCAATCAAACAGACTCCAACCTCTCCACAATGGCCAAGACCAGAGAGCTGTGTAAGGACATCAGGGATAAAATTGTAGACCTGCACAAGGCTGGGATGGGCTACAGGACAATAGGCAAGCAGCTTGGTGAGAAGGCAACAACTGTTGGCACAATTATTAGAAAATGGAAGAAGTTCAAGATGACGGTCAATCAACCTCGGTCTGGGGCTCCATGCAAGATCTCACCTCGTGGGGCATCAATGATCATGAGGAAGGTGAGGGATCAGCCCAGAACTACACGGCAGGACCTGGTCAATGACCTGAAGAGAGCTGGGACCACAGTCTCAAAGAAAACCATTAGTAACACACTACACCGTCATGGATTAAAATCCTGCAGCGCACGCAAGGTCCCCCTGCTCAAGCCAGTGCATGTCCAGGCCCGTCTGAAGTTTGCCAATGACCATCTGGATGATCCAGAGGAGGAATGGGAGAAGGTAATGTGGTCTGAAGAGACAAAAATAGAGCTTTTTGGTCTAAACTCCACCCGCCGTGTTTGGAGGAAGAAGAAGGATGAGTACAACCCCAAGAACACCATCCCAACCGTGAAGCATGGAGGTGGAAGCATCAGTCTTTGGGGAAGCTTTTCTGCAAAGGGGACAGGACGACTGCACTGTATTGAGGGGAGGATGGATGGGGCCATGTATCGCGAGATCTTGGCCAACAACCTCCTTCCCTCAGTAAGAGCATTGAAGATGGCTCGTGGCTGGGTCTTCCAGCATGACAACGAACCGAAACACACAGCCAGGGCAACTAAGGAGTGGCTCCGTAAGAAGCATCTCAAGGTCCTGGAGTGGCCTAGCCAGTCTCCAGACCTGAACCCAATAGAAAATATTTGGAGGGAGCTGAAAGTCCGTATTGCCCAGCGACAGCCCCGAAACCTGAAGGATCTGGAGAAGGTCTGTATGGAGGAGTGGGCCAAAATCCCTGCTGCAGTGGGTGCAAACCTGGTCAAGACCTACAGGAAACGTATGATCTCTGTAATTGCAAACAAAGGTTTCTGTACCAAATATTAAGTTCTGCTTTTCTGATGTATCAAATACTTATGTCATGCAATAAAATGCAAATGAATTACTTAAAAATCATACAATGTGATTTTCTGGATTTTTGTTTTAGATTCCGTCTCTCACAGTTGAAGTGTACCTATGATAAAAATTACAGACCTCTACCTGCTTTGTAAGTAGGAAAACCTGCAAAATTGGCAGTGTATCAAATACTTGTTCTCCCCACTGTATATATATATATATATATACACACACACACACACACACACATACACATATCAGTACCTGTCAAAAGTTTGGACTACTCATTCAAGGGTTTTTCTTTATTTTTTAGTATTTTCTACATTGTAGAATAATAGTGAAGACATCAAAACTATAAAATAACACATATGGAATCATGTAGTAACCAAAAAAGTGTCAAACCAATCTAAATATATTTTATATTTGAGATTCTTCAAATTGCCACCCTTTGCCTTGATGACAGCTTTGCACACTCTTGGCATTCTCTCAACCAGCTTCACTTGGAATACTTTTGACTGGTACTGTGTGTGTGTGTGTGTGTGTATATATACATATATATATATATATATATATCCATTATCTTTTCTATGTAAGTTAGTGCCGTGAAAAAGTATTTGCCCCCTTTCTGATTCTCTATTTTTGCATATTTTTGATATCAGATCTACAACCAAAACCTAATATTAGATCAAGGGAACCAGAGTTTACAAATAAAAAATAAACTTATTTTATTTAATTAAAAGTTATGCAACACCCAATTCCCCTGTGTAAAAAAACAATTCCCCCTTACACTCAATAACTGGTTGTGCCACCTTTAGCTGCAATGACTGCAACCAAATGCTTCCTGTAGTTGTTGATCAGTCTTTCACGTCGCTGTGGAGGAATTTTGGCCCACTCCTGCATGCAGAACTGTGTTGGTTTTCAAGCATTAACTGCTTGTTTCAAGTAATGCAACAACATCTCAATTGGGATTAGGTCTGGACTTTGACTAGGCCATTCCAAAACTTCCAATTTGTTGTTTTAACCATTTCATGTAGACTTGATTGTGTGTTTTGGATCATTGTCTTGCTGCAGGTTCCAGCTACGCTTCAGCTTATGCTCACAGCCGGATGGCCTGACATTCTCCTGTAGAATTCTCTGATACAGAGCAGAATTCATGGTTCCTTCTATTAAGGCAAGCCGTCCAGGACCTGAGGGAGCAAAGCATCCCCAAACCATTACACTACCACCACAATGATTGACCAAAAAGTTGACTGAAGTTTGCCAAAAAGAACCTGGAAGCACCTGAATGATCATCAAGACTCTTGGAATAATTATCTATGGACAGATGAGTCAAAAGTATAACTTTTTGGATGACATGGGTCCCATTATGCCTGGCGAAAACCAATCACTGCATTCCACAGTAAGAACCTTATACCAACGGTCAAGTATGATGGTGGTAGTGTGATGGTTTGGGGATGCTTTGCTGCCTCAGGACCTGGACGACTTGCCTTAATAGAAGGAACCATGAATTCTGCTCTGGGGACAAATTCTTTTTCACAGCACTGTATATCGGGATTTTGTCATTTAAGTTTACAGTGAAAACGTTTTCGATCCCAAAAAAGGAACGTAAAAAAGTAATGAATTAATATATTAATTTTTTTACTTTGGACTTGCTTAGGCAGCCCGCCCAAGGATTTATAATAATAAATAATAATATGCCATTTAGCAGACGCTTTTATCCAAAGCGACTTACAGTCATGCGTGCATACATTTTTGTGTATGGGTGGTCCCGGGGATCGAACCCACTACCTTGGCGTTACAAGCGCCGTGCTCTACCAGCTGAGCTACAGAGGATTTCAAAGGCAGAACAATTCCTGGTGTGTGTGTGGTAGTGAGGACATACTATCTGTTCGGAGGTGAGGCGTAGGGACTTGCGGTACATGTGGCTAAAACACTGGCCAGTGTTTATGGTCTCTAAGGTCTCTGATGATAGGTTGCCCACTCTGCCTAGGCCCGCCTCCTCGTCACTAGTCAGGTCATCCAGAGTCGCCCTGAAAAGTCACACATAGCTGATGGCATAGTAATTCTGCCAAAATAAACGACAATCGGTCATATGCGTTACGCATGAGGAACAGTGTGTGTCTGTGTGTAATCACTCACAGTATGTTTGTTGAGGGACCAGTGACAGACACAGAGGTTGAGACTTCAGTCTCTGCATGTGCCTCCTCTTGGTCCTGCTTAGAGTTCTCTCCAGTCTGCCATAGGGAAAGACAGAGAAAATATTGTTGTTGCTAGGCAGCTCTTTACCATTATCCTTCATTATAAAATGGGTAGTTTGGATCCTGGATGCTGATTGGACGAGCAGCATTCAAAGCTTATATGCCGATATTGGCACTGCTAATAAAGTGGAGTCGCAATTCAACGGCTCAGACACGAGACGTATGTGGCAGGGTCTACAGACAATCACGGACTACAAAAGGAAAACCAGCCACGTCGCCGACACCGACGTCTTGCTTCTGGACAAGCTAAACACCTTCTTCGCCTGCTTTGAGGATAACACATTGCCACCGATGCGGCCCACTACCAAGGACTGTGGGCTCTCCTTCTCCATGGCAGACGTGAGTAAGACATTTAAGCATGTTAACCCCCGCAAGGCTGCCGGCCTAGCCGCGCCCTCAGAGCATGCGCAAGTGTCCCCACTTGCTTCAAGATGGCCACCATTGCTCCTGTAACCAAGAAAGCAAAGGTAACTGAACTAAATGACTATCGCCCCATAGCACACACTTCTGTCATCATGAAGTGCTTTGAGAGACTAGTCAAGGATCATATCACCTCTACCTTACCTGTCACCCTAGAGCCACTTCAATTTGCTTACCGCCCCAATAGATCCACAGACGATGCAATCGCCAATACACTGCATACTGCCCTATCCCATCTGGACAAGAGGAATACATATGTAAGAATGCTGTTCATTGACTATAGCTCAGCATTCAACACCATAGTACCCACCAAGATCATCATGAAGCTCGAGGCCCTGGGTCTGAACCCCGCCCAGTGCAACTGGGTCCTGGACTTCCTGACGGGCTGCCCCCAGGTGGTGAAGGTATACAACAACACCTCCACTTCGCTGATCCTCAACACTGGCGCCCCACAAGGGTGCGTGCTCAGCCCCCTCCTGTACTCCCTATTCACCCATGACTGCGTGGCCAAGCACGCCTCCAACTCAATCATCAAGTTTGCAGACAACACAACAGTAGTAGGCTTGATTACCAACAATGATGAGACAGCCTACAGGGAGGATGTGAGGGCTCTGGGAGTGTAGTGCCAAGAAAATAACCTCTCACTCAACGTCAACAAAACAAAGGAGATGATCGTGGACTTCAGGAAAAAGCAGAGGGTGCACCCCCCTATCCACATTGATGGGACCGCAGTGGAGAAGGTGGAAAGCTTCAAGTTTCTTGGCGTACACATCACTGACAAACTGAAATGGTCCACCCACGCAGACAGTGTGGTGAAGAAGGCGCAACAGAGCCTCTTCAACCTCAGGAGGCTAAAGAAATTTGTCTTGGCACCTAAAACCCTCACAAACTTTTACAGATGCAGAGAGCATCCTGTCGGGCTGTATCACCGCCTGGTACGGCAACTGCACCACCCACAACCGCAGGGCTCTCCAGAGGGTGGTGCGGTCTGCAGAACGCATTACAGGGGGCAAACTACCCACCCTCCAGGACACCTACAGCACCCGATGTCACAGGAAGGCCAAAAAGATCATCAAGGACATCAACCACCCGAGCCACTGCCTGTTCACCCCGCTATCATCCAGAAGGCGAGGTCAGTACAGGTGCATCAAAGCTGGGACCGAGAGACTGAAAAACTGCTTCTATCTCAAGGCCATCAGACTGTTAATTAGCCATCACTAGCACATTAGAGGCTGCTGCCGCCTATAGAAATCACTGGCCACTTTAAGAAATGGAACACTAGTCACTTTAATAATGTTTACATATCTTGCATTACTCATCTCATATGTACAGTGGGGGGAAAAAGTATTTAGTCAGCCACCAATTGTGCAAGTTCTCCCACTTAAAAAGATGAGAGAGGCCTGTAATTTTCATCATAGGTACACGTCAACTATGACAGACAGAATGAGGAAAAAAAATCCAGAAAATCACATTATAGAATTTTTAATGAATTTATTTGCAAATTATGGTGGAAAATAAGTATTTGGTCAATAACAAAAGTTTCTCAATACTTTGTTATATACCCTTTGTTGGCAATGACACAGGTCAAATGTTTTCTGTAAGTCTTCACAAGGTTTTCACACACTGTTGCTGGTATTTTGGCCCATTCCTCCATGCAGATCTCCTCTAGAGCAGTGATGTTTTGGGGCTGTCGCTGGGCAACACGGACTTTCAACTCCCTCCAAAGATTTTCTATGGGGTTGAGATCTGGAGACTAGCTAGGCCCCTCCAGGACCTTGAAATGCTTCTTACGAAGCCACTCCTTCGTTGCCCGGGCGGTGTGTTTGGGATCATTGTCATGCTGAAAGACCCAGCCACGTTTCATCTTCAATGCCCTTGCTGATGGAAGGAGGTTTTCACTCAAAATCTCACGATACATGGCCCCATTCATTCTTTCCTTTACACGGATCAGTCGTCCTGGTCCCTTTGCAGAAACAGCCCCAAAGCATGATGTTTCCACCCCCATGCTTCACAGTAGGTATAGTGTTCTTTGGATGCAACTCAGCATTCTTTGTCCTCCAAACACAACGAGTTGAGTTTTTACCAAAAAGTTCTATTTTGGTTTCATCTGACCATATGACATTCTCCCAATCCTCTTCTGGATCATCCAAATGCACTCTAGCAAACTTCAGACGGGCCTGGACATGTACTGGCTTAAGCAGGGGGACACGTCTGGCACTGCAGGATTTGAGTCCCTGGCGGCGTAGTGTGTTACTGATGGTAGGCTTTGTTATTTTGGTCCCAGCTCTCTGCAGGTCATTCACTAGGTCCCCCCGTGTGGTTCTGGGATTTTTGCTCACTGTTCTTGTGATCATTTTGACCCCACGGGGTGAGATCTTGCGTGGAGCCCCAGATCGAGGGAGATTATCAGTGGTCTTGTATGTCTTCCATTTCCTAATAATTGCTCCCACAGTTGATTTCTTCAAACCAAGCTGCTTACCTATTGCAGATTCAGTCTTCCCAGCCTGGTGCAGGTCTACAATTTTGTTTCTGGTGTCCTTTGACAGCTCTTTGGTCTTGGCCATAGTGGAGTTTGGAGTGTGACTGTTTGAGGTTGTGGACAGGTGTCTTTTATACTGATAACAAGTTCAAACAGGTGCCATTAATACAGGTAACGAGTGGAGGACAGAGGAGCCTCTTAAAGAAGAAGTTACAGGTCTGTGAGAGCCAGAAATCTTGCTTGTTTGTAGGTGACCAAATACTTATTTTCCACCATAATTTGCAAATAAATTAATTAAAAATCCTACAATGTGATTTTCTCAATTTGTCTGTCATAGTTGACGTGTACCTATGATGAAAATTACAGGCCTCTCTCATCTTTTTAAGTGGGAGAACTTGCACAATTGGTGGCTGACTAAATACTTTTTTCCCCCACTGTATATACTGTATTCTATAATATTCTACTGTATCTTAGCCATGCTCTGTCATTGCTCCTCCATATATGTTTTGTTAATTCCATTCCTTACTTAGATGTGTGTGTATTGGGTATATGTTGTGAAGTTGTTAGATATTACATGTTAGATATTACTGCACTGTCAGAGCTAGAAGCACAAGCATTTCGCTACACCCGCAATAACACCTGCTAAACACGTGTATGTGACAAATTTGATTCGATTTTAATAGTTCCTTCTGAGTTATCCTTCTGAGAATATCATCATGTTCACGATGCTGTCTGAACCCTCTCTTGAATTTCTCTCAACAACGGCATTTATCTGTGACTATATTCATGATATAGCATGGCCTTTTGTGCCTTATTGCTTAAATAAGATGATGATTCATGAAATTCCAAACTGACTAAAATGTCAATTGTAAGGTGTGTTGGTGCTGGACAGGAACAACATATGTAGAGGCTGTGGGTCCCCAAAATACCTGGGTCGTGTTAATTAGGCCACACCCTAGCAAAACATGTTGCAACTGAAAACAAAAACGATTGTTTCTTATTGGACAAGTTCAGATAGTACCTCCCTGTCTTCTTCCGTTTTGTGCCTACTGAACACAACCCTAGCCTGGATTGAGAAAGCCTGTGATAGGCTACCTGGTTTGGGTTAGTTGAGAAACCTTGTGATAGGCTACCTAGTTTGGGTTAGTTGAGAAAGCCCGTGATAGGCTACCTGGTTTGGGTTAGTTGAGAAACCCTGTGATAGGCTACCTGGTTTGGGTTAGTTGAGAAAGCCTGTGATAGGCTACCTGGTTTGGATTAGTTGAGAAACCCTGTGATAGGCTACCTGGTTTGGGTTAGTTGAGAAACCCTGTGATAGGCTACCTGGTTTGGGTTAGTTGAGAAAGCCTGTGATAGGCTACCTGGTTTGGGTTAGTTGAGAAACCCTGTGATAGGCTACCTGGTTTGGGTTAGTTGAGAAACCCTGTGATAGGCTACCTGGTTTGGGTTAGTTGAGAAACCCTGTGATAGGCTACCTGGTTTGGGTTAGTTGAGAAAGCCTGTGATAGGCTACCTGGTTTGGGTTAGTATCCATGTCCTTCCTCCTCCAGGAGAACCACCAGCGGCCAGACTTTTTGGGCATCTTGTCCTTCACCAGCTGGTCAATGGCACTCTACAGACAGACAGTACAAGGTTAAAGGTCATATATATCACACCTGTCACCACTTTCCCAACTATCTGGCCTTTCTCCTGAAGTGTGCACTCATACACTACTCCCCCATACATTGGTATACAGTAGGTATGAGCCAGAGAGACTTCCCTTCATATTTCTTTATACTAGTCATTTAATTTCAAATCCATGAAGGGAAGTGAACAAGGGTAAAGATTGGAGATATAGGCCTCCTGTAGCTCAGTTGGTAGAGCATGGCGCTTGCAACGCCAGGGTTGTGGGTTCAATTCCCACGAGGGGCCAGTATGAAAAATGTATGCACTCACTAACTGTAAGTCGTTTTGGATAAGAGTGTCTGCTAAATGACTAAAATGTTTAAAAAAAAAGTTAAATATACCTTTGGTAGATTCTTTTGAAAAACTTGCATTGACAGGACCATAGGGGCAGCCACTGCCCAGTTATAATACCTAAAAGAGCACCAAAAAAACATGAATTTGTCAACTGACAGACACATTGAAAACATATGATGGCAGAACTACAAGCAAACAACATATTGTACAGCATTACCAAATGCAACTCTAACACTTACTTTGAGTTGATGCAGATAACCAGGTTTGGATCTTCGATGATTCCAGGGTTGCTCACCATATCCTGGTAGTTCACAACATGTTCCATAAACTGATCTGGAACAGAGGCAAATGGCAATAGAGAAAGTCAAGAAAAAGTATCATCAATCCAACTGTTACAAATGGGTAAGAATGCATAGGTTACTACATGTTCATATTTCATCTAAAAAAGGTCTGTCTTCATTAGCTTGATAAAGATCATCACTAGAAGCAGCAAACGGTGAGCGGATGTGGTTTCTTCCATCGGACACATACACAACTGCACAGAAATAGACATTACAGGAAAGTTCTCCTGCAACAGGGTGATCAAATTAAGATCCTACATCTGTACACACGCACCTTTGTTGATTTGGCTGGTGTGGCCGGTGCGGCCGCAGAGGGACATGCTAACATCCAAGTGGTCGGTGGTAGAGTCGGACAGGTACTCTGTGCCGCTGTCCATGGCCCCACTGCCCACCGACTGTGGAGACTGGTTACCAGAACTGGACCCTTGCTCCGCACCGGGCCGCGAGCATCCTTCTACCTCACTGAGAGGAGAGGGATAGCCATTAGCAAAATCTTCTACCACTATGCCTTTTATGTGTTTACTTGAGAAGTGAATTGCCTGAGTTGAAATGGAATTGACCCCCAGCCTGCATTCATGTACATAATGGCCTCACGGGGGCCAGTATGAAAAATGTATGCACTCACTAATTGGAAGTCGCTCTGGATAAGAGCGTCTGCTAAATGACTAAAAAAATAAATAAATAAAAAACACTGATATTTCATCATTATGATGAGGGAACAGAAAGTTCCAAGCTGTTGCATTTATCAGGTGCTATTCATAAAGGATCTCAGAGTAGGAGTGGGATCAATAGGTTCAAACTCTGAGAAACACTCACAAATGACTATTGATTTGGTATAGGATGCGATACAGTCTATGATATCTTATGTCTGCTGATGTCCATGTGAGTCCCTAGCAGTGAGACCTGCCTTGTGAGGACACAGTAACGCCTAAGATAAGATAACATTCCTCATGATCAGGTTAGGGAATGCATCCTGCTACATTATCCACATATAGAGTTAACTGATTTGTGTCATCCTTGACACTGAGTAAGTGTGGATTGCGGAAGGCATGCCAACTGGGAACTTGGGTCATATCGAGACAGAAGTTGGGGAAAGGTGACATATTTTGGCCTAGATATTATGAAATCCATTGCATGTTGACCTCCATTAATATTTTTCCATGGAAGACACCAAAACCAAATCATCATATTCGGTGGGACATGAAAACCCCAGTGGAGGTAGAGCTACTTTCTAACTTAAAGTAGCTCTATGGTAGAATCCATGCACTCATCTATCATGTAAGCTCACTGGCCGTGTCCGAATACCTGTACTTGCGTTCTAAATAGTAGGCATTTTGGGTATGCAAAAATAAAAGTTTGATAGATGTGAAATTGTAAATATTTTGTATGCTTTAACTGTCTAGAGCAGTGCTGCCCAACCCTCTTCCTGGAGATCAACCCTAATTTAACACACCTGATTCTACTTATTAGATGCTCAACAAGACCTTAACTTGCTGAATCAGATATGCTAAATTAGGGTTGGACTGAAAACCTACAGGACAGTAGATCTCCAGGAAGAGGGTTGGGCAGCCTTGGTCTAGAGTCTAAACCCTGTCTAAACCGGGGAGGTGGAAACATAGAATTTAGCATTACTGCTATTAGCCAATAGAAACGTATTGAATAACAGATTCAATACATGTTACAACAGATAGTCCAAAACATGTATCTAAAGGAAGCTTGTTCTGAAGTGTCTGTCCTATATCTGAGAGATATAAGAACATGTATTTATCCCCTTATTTTAGGCACTAAACTATCTCCATATATACAATTCCATTCATTTTTTAAGACTGGTACTGGGGACCTTCAGAGGAGTCCCAAGACGCTTGTGGGGGTCGTAGACCAAAACGGAGACCTTTCACCGCAGATGTGGAAGGGCGATATCGGCGGATGTGGTGGATTGAGAAGCAGACAATGCAACAAAAAAATAGATATCTCTAGCTGAAACAGAGAGATTTTGATGGGGATGTTTTTATTATGTTAATTCAATTTCCACAGGGGGTGCGGAAATTGTAGGCCAAGGGTTAAATGCAGGTTGACGTTTATTGTCATGAATCTTGCCCTGGAGGCAGAACTGAGCAAGAATTGAGGAAGAAAAGGACAGAAAGAAGGAAGGAGAGCAGGGAGCTCTTTACCTTTTAGGTGGGAAGTAGAGTGCTGCCACCTCTGGGTCCAGGTTAGACAAGTCATCCAGGTAGATGTCGGAGGGTCCCAGGTGCTGACTGCGTTTACCTGTGTTCACACAGCACAGCAGCACAGAGACTGAGCACAGAGAACCACCACACAATTCAAAGTAATGTCAAAACCAACACTCAAATCCTCTTGAAGATATTACTATAATGCGTATACCTGCCCAGGGTTTAGGGATTGAGACGAGATCTGTTTCTCACCTTTCTTCTTGTCCTGGTGCTCTGCTGAGCTAGACTGCTCCTCCCTCAGAGCCTCAGTGGCTAACACATCTGTCACTCCAATACTCTCTGCAGCCTGATTGGTCAGGGAGTGGTCTGTGGCTCTGGACGTCATTACAACTCCGTTCTCTGTCTCCTCCCCTCCCTCGGTGCAGGGCTCAATCCCGCTGTCGCCCTCACTCAAGACAACTCCTGGCCCCTGTCCATTGGGTTCTGGAAAGGCACTGTGCTGGTCTGGGTGTGCTCTGCTACCCAGACACTCTGTGGTAATGGGACCTAAGTTGGCTGCACTGGCATAGCTAGTTGTGTTAGCCAAACTAGCCTTGTTAGTTAAAGCTAAAGTAGCTGTGCTGTTGCTAGCTAGCCTGTCTGCGCTGATTGTGGCAGCTTTGCTACCTTTTCTGGATGGGATGTGTGTGTCTATACAGTCGTTTTCAACTTGGCTAACCATGTTAGCTACACATTCAACATTTGCTGTGCTTACTTCGCTAGCTTGTCTATCAGTATCGCCTACATTAGCAATGCTAATTTTGTTAGCCAGGGAGTTTATGGAGTCTTCCAGCTCCGGGTTGGATGGGGACTCCTCGGCTACTTCATCCCCTGCCTGCTGGGTCTCTACTTGTGGCTGCGTTTCCATTTTTCTAGGCCCTGGGGCTTGGGGCGAGTCTATGCTAGCCATCGCTAATGATGCCAATGTTAGCGGCTCTGAGAGCAGCTCTGAGGTGGGGTGATTCGGGGTGGAGTGGGCCATATTGGAGGCTCTCTCCAGGTCTATGGGGGAACTTTCTGTGGGTTGGACCGCTGGTCCGGTCCTGGGCATGGGCCTGACCACCACCGCCACGCTACTGCTCGCTCGGACACAGCTGACCACGGGCTCCAGGCCCATGTCAAAGGAATCCTGCCGCTTGATGGTGCGGAAGTGGGAGCTGTCGGAGCAGCGGACGCCAGGGGAGACATGCTGCACCTCCACCCTCCCTCTCTCCGTTGGACACATCTAGAGGGAGCAGGGAAAACAAAGCAGTCTGGTGATGGAGCTACTGAACAAACTTTTTATGACACCTGTACGTCCTGTTATGACATGCCCTGTTATGACACCTGTACGTCCTGTTATGACATGCCCTGTTATGACATCTGTACGTCCTGTTATGACATGTCCTGTTATGACATCTGTACGTCCTGTTATGACATGTCCTGTTATGACACCTGTACGTCCTGTTATGACATGTCCTGTTATGACACCTGTACGTCCTGTTATGACATCTGTACGTCCTGTTATGACATGCCCTGTTATGACACCTGTACGTCCTGTTATGACATCTGTACGTCCTGTTATGACATGCCCTGTTATGACACCTGTACGTCCTGTTATGACATGTCCTGTTATGACATCTGTACGTCCTGTTATGACATGCCCTGTTATGACACCTGTACGTCCTGTTATGACATGTCCTGTTATGACACCTGTACGTCCTGTTATGACATGCCCTTTTATGACAACCGAATGCCATGTTATGACATGATGTGTTCTAACACCTGTATGTACTGTTATGACACCTGTACGTTGTGTTATGACACCTGTATGTCCTGTAGGGATGTGCATCTTGCCTTTCAAGCACCATTCGATTCTCATCTAGATACATGGGCTCTGATACAATACAGGAACGATACATTTTCTAAATTTAAATCTGATAGTGATGGAGCTCAGGAGCTGGGCCTCTGAGCTGGATCTATCTGAGCTGAATTCTCTCTGTCTGAGCTGAATTCTCTCGTTTGTTTGTGTGTGTCATAGCTCATATCTGTAGAAATTAGCTATGACATAACCAATGAATATAGCACAGCTTTGTATTTCACCCCAGTCTTAAAGGCAAATGGTTTTGACCATTTGGGGCGTTAGGTAGCCTAGCGGTTCAGAGCATTGGGCCAGTAACCAAAATGTCGCTGGTTCGAATCCCCCGAGCAGACTAGGTGAAAAATCTGTCAAAGTGCCCTTAAGCAAGGCACTTAACCCGAATAGCTCCTGTGTAAGTCACTCTGGAGAAGAGCATCTGCTAAATGACTAAACAATTTTAGATCTTTACGAAGGAGAGCTGCTCTTCTCCAGCGCACGCTCAGATCATAGGCCTACAGTGCAGCTGAAAATAATTATTGCAGAAATTACATCTTTACCCTGTTCATGTAAAAATGACCAAATAAACAGACTATTTAAACCAAAACTACCTTAAAATGAGGAGGTGAACCTGGCAATCGAAAAGCCCCAATCAGCAGCAGCAAGATGTGAGTTGTGTCCACTCCGGTAGCCTACACAACTCTTGTCGGTAAAACAATTTTCTACAGTGCATTTGGTAACAATGACCCAGCAAATTACATTGGTTGTCACCCAACTAATAAAGCCCATGACTTGACATTGCGAAAGCCATTTTACAAGCATTTGAATGCTGAAGATGCTAGGAATATTAGATCAGGGAGGCTCTGGTTGGTGAGAGCAGCTGCACTCTGTATGCACAGTTGCTATCTGACTTGGAGATCAATGACTTTCACATTTACATGCTTAGTTCAATAGGCTACTGAAGGAGAGGACGCATCAACTCAGTCACAAAAGATTAGATATTTTTGGAGGGGGGAAATACAATTATATGAGTAAAAGAACGTTAGTGAACCGGCGGTTCATAATGTTTGAATCAATTTTCTGACCAATTCATGCTACCTTTGGATCAGTTTGGGCTCCCGCGGACCGATGCACTTGCATCTTGAACTTTTGAGCTGGGGACTGATGCCCATCAGTGAATTGTTACATCCCTAATGTCCTTTTATGACACCTGTACGTCCTGTTGACACCTGTATGCCCTGTTATGACCTCTGTATGTTCCGTTATGACACCTGTATGCCCTGTTATGACCTCTGTATGCCCTGTTATGACACCTGTATGCCCTGTTATGACACCAGTATGCCCTGTTATGACACCAGTATGCCCTGTTATGACCTCTGTATGCCCTGTTATGACCTCTGTATGCCCTGTTATGACACCTGTATGCCCTGTTATGACACCTGTATGCCCTGTTATGACACCTGTATGCCCTGTTATGACCTCTGTATGTCCCGTTATGACACCTGTATGCCCTGTTATGACCTCTGTATGTCCCGTTATGACACCTGTATGCCCTGTTATGACACCTGTATGCCCTGTTATGACACCTGTATGCCCTGTTATGACCTCTGTGTGTTCCGTTATGGCCTCAATTTGACCTGTTATGTCATACCTCGGGAAAGCCGCCCCAGTTCCACTGCATCTGAGGCCCTGAAGACTCCGGAGGCTTCACCTGCAGCTCAGAGTCACTCTTGGGGGAGGAAGGACGACTATAGAACACACTGGAAATAGAAGACGCAGAGAGGCTAATTAATATAAGGAAAGAGAGAGAAACTGTTGAGAAAGAGACCAAAAGACAGACAGACAGACAGACAGACAGACACACACAGAGAGAGACAGAGAAAGAGAGACAGAGATGGACGGGGGGGTTGAAGAAGCTCTCAGAAGGCTCTGATGAAGGCCATGCATACGTAAGCTAAGCTAGATAAACACAACTGATAGCGGCAAGTGCAGTGTGCAGGTTTTTTTTTTTTTTTTTTTTACAATAATTCCAAATAATTCCCACACACCTGCAACAAGTAACCTCAGATGTGCGAGTGCGTTTCCTAATTTGAGAGAGAGAGAGGGGGGAAAAGAGTGACAAGGACAGAGAGAGTTCATAAACTGGAGAAAGAGGGGGACAGAGAGAGAGAGTTCATAAACTGGAGAAAGAGGGGGACAGAGAGAGAGAGTTCATAAACTGGAGAAAGAGGGGGACAGAGAGAGAGTTCATAAACTGGAGAAAGAGGGGGACAGAGCGAGAGAGAGTTCATAAACTGGAGAAAGAGGGGGACAGAGCGAGAGAGAGTTCATAAACTGGAGAAAGAGGGGGACAGAGAGAGAGAGAGTTCATAAACTGGAGAAAGAGGGGGACAGAGCGAGAGAGAGTTCATAAACTGGAGAAAGAGGGGGACAGAGTGAGAGAGAACATAAAAGATAATTCAAATGCCAACTTATTTTAACTGACTACTAGGTGCGGTTTCTAGGACACAGATTAGCCTAAAACTGGAGAATGTCCATTAAATAATTTTTTGTCCAGGATTAGGCTTAATCTGTGTCCAGGAAACCACCCCTTAAAGTGCTAGTAAGTTGTCTGACCTGTTGTCTGGCCTTAATGGCCAAATGTACTCTTACATCTCTACTCGCTATAGCCAGAAGAGGACTGGCCACCGCTCAGAGCCTGGTTCCTCTTTAGGTTTCTGCCTTAGTTCCTAGGGAGTTTTTCCTAGCCACTGTGCTTCTGCCTGCATTGCTTGCTCTTTGGGAGTTTAGGCTGGGTATCTGTAAAGCACTTTGTGACAACTGTTGATGTAAAAAGGGCTTTATAAAATACATTTGATTGATTGATTGCCTGACCTCTCTGAGGGGGACCACTCTCCGTCTGAGTGAGGGTGGACGTCCCTGATCTGCATGACCACCAACTCTTCATGTGGCTCCTCAGACAGCGAGAAGTACACAGACTTACTGTTAGGGAGACAAAAGAGTCAGCCACAGGGTATCAGAACACTAAAGCTGATCATTCAAAGTCTCATACCGGATGCTAAATCTAAACATATATGACCTGGGTTGAATATGTATTCGTCTTCCACCTAACACTTGAGGTATGCCTGATTTAACTTGGATGGCACAATGAAACCGATAGAATAGTAATTTTCAAACAATGGAATTCATGTTTTCAATGGTAGTTGATGGGTCGTTCCACGAAAAGAGTACATTTTGCGTCCCTTTGATATTTTAAGTAGAACTTGTGCACCGATATTGCATTTTAAAAGCCTGTTATCTCACATGAAGTGCCCTTTATTATAGACCACATGGAAAATTCAATAAATTCAATTTTTTATATTAATAAAGACTTGCTAAAAAGTGCCCAGAATCTGTCTCTCGTCATGTTTTTTAGAGTTCTAGCGAAATTTTTACTCACTTAACACCACAATTTCTCCAAGTTTTCACCATCATTGTAAGGCCCTACTTACGTTCTTGCTTTGACAATCATTTCTGAAGATTATAATTTATTTCATGTGATTAATTTACGTCGGTCCTTCATTTTAAGGTCAACCCTGCATATCACTTTTTAACCACATTACTTTACTAAAATATTTCAGTTGTTGTGTAGATTACATTTGTTTTATCCCATGACTTTATTTCATTCTGTTAGATTAATTTGTATTTTAAGAATAATGACTAAAGGATTTCACCCCAAATACAGTATAAATGTGTGAACGGTGTTAGAGTTATAATGTAGTGGCAACCCACTAACAGAGGGGGGAGGGACTAAACATTCCAGGGTGAAGGGGACTGAGAAAACAGGTTAAAAAAAGCCTCCTAAAGGTGGGCGGAGCAAAGTGCCTTTGTGTGTCAAGGGGTATAAAACAGGAAGTGTATGGGTTTTGGCGCCAGAGCTCTCCATGAATAAAAAGACAGATCATTCTTGCTGGTTGTGAACCTTGAATCATTTATGATTAAAACCAGGGCCTTACAACCCCTGGTAATGATTCAAGCTTAGGTTGAATTAGAGATAGAAATTCTCGTGACACATTCCAAGTCATTATCTCATCTCTTTAGAGCAGCTGCCTATGCTGTCTGACAAAATCACTATTTTGTAGTTCTTGAAAGTAAATAAGGCTTACATTTATGACTGCTGAATACCAATACCTCACGAAGCAACTGCTCTCTATGTATCCCCTCTTGATCGCGCAATTCTTCTGTCTCACGTTGCAGGCGTAAAAGAAACACAGACCGGACAAGTAGCCGCGCAATGGATATCACGTTTTCTGCACTAAACTATGTAGAACATTGGCCTGTTGGAAACTACAACTGCGTACTACGTCGCGCAGTTTGGGCATGATCTGATTTATCTCTAGAGAAACTGCAGAGCAATGTGCGCATTGAGCTCACAGATAAAAAACAAACAAAATGAAATTCAAATAATTGAACTGACGTTGGTCAATTAGAAACCGAAAAATAACCAACATTTCAGTTCATCACTGAGCACTAATAGAAAGGCTAGAAATGTTTTAACAATTTCACATTTTGGTGAAGCTTGCATTCAATTGCCATCCCTGTTGCACACAACAAGCTTCCCTGTCACATGGGTATTTATGGCTGATTTAAGATGAAAACCTCAACCCTGTTACAGTCAACCCTGTCATTTATTTTACTTAAACCCTTGAGATGTTTTTTTATTTTTTATTTTATTAAGTTGAACGTGTGCTCTTTATGACAATGTTAAAATTTGGCGAAATGTATATAATTTTAGTTACACAGGGGTTGCGTTTTTCACTCAGAAAAAAAAGGTAAAACGCATACGAAATATACATTTACATTTACGTCATTTAGCAGACGCTCTTATCCAGAGCGACTTACAAATTGGTGCATTCACCTTATAGCCAGTGGGATAACCACTTTACAATGTGTTTTTTTGTTTTTTTTGTTAATCTTTTATTTTTATTTTTTTAATCTTGCTGCATTTTGTAAACGCAGATCTCAAATTGTAATTTCTGCTCAGACTAATTTTGTGCTTCAGTTGCACTCGGATGAGAATTCATGAATGGGCAACTATCAGCAGACAGCACTCTGACTGATGTGGAGCTACTTTTCTCAGTGTAGCCTACTTTTGTCCAGTAAAATGCTATATTTACTTCAAGCAAAACATTAGGAAATGTAGCTGGCTACATTCTTTCTATGATAAACATTAGAAATTGGCACAGTTTTTTTTGCTTTTTCATTGTAAGCTCATTAACTTTTGTGGCTGCTAACCAAATAGCATTGCACTTCTGTTGTCATCTGATGAATGAAGCTATTTTCTGCCGAATGTGTTGCAGTAACTTATATTTTCTGTCAAGGAAAATTATAGTTGCACGCCCCTGATCCTTCTACTGAAGCAATATTTCCCCCCCCACTTTCAATATAAAATGCAGGTCAAATGGTTTAAAATGCAGATTTTTTTATCTGCGTTTGGAAAATGCTGATTTCTGAACTATAAAACGACACCTGTTACACTACCCAAAATGTACTCTATTCATGGAATGACCCTGACAGTGACCTGGCGAGCATGGGCGTGGTGGGCTCTTCTTCTTCCTGTTCTCCTGACTGCTCCCTCTCTCTCTCGTCGGACGAGGAGCTACCATCTTCTCTTAGGTGGGAGTCGGAGCGTATGCGTTTGCGCCGCCGCTTTTTCCTTCGTGTGCTTCCGGAACTGGGGAGCCCCTCAAAGGTTTCCTCGGCTCCCTCCGGCAGCTCGATGTGGATGGGCGACGTGCAGAGGTGGGCTGGCACTCTGGACTGGTTGGTGGGGGGAAAAAAATGTCACATTTCAAACTAAAAGGTAAAGTACTTACTATGCTACACATACAGTGCATTCGGAAAGTATTCAGACCACTTGACTTTTTCCACATTTTGTTACACTACAGCCTTCTTCAAAAATGGATTAGATGTTTTTCCTCATCATAAAAAACAGAAATACCTTATTTACATAAGTATTCAGACCCTTTGTTATGAGACTCGAAATTGAGCTCGGGTGTATCCTGTTTCCATTGATCATCCTTGAGAGGTTTCTACAACTTGATTGGAGTCCACCTGTGGTAAATTCAATTGATTGGACATGATTTGGAAAGGCACATATAAGGTCTCACAGTTGACAGTGCATGTCAGAGTAAAGGGCCTTGATCAGGGAGGTGACCAAGAACACGATGGTCACTGACAGAGCTCCAGAGTTCCTCTGTGGAGAGGGGAGAAACTTCCAGCAGGACACTCATCTCTGCAGCACTCCACCAATCAGGCATTTATGGTAGAGTGTCCAAACGGAAGCCACTCCTCAGTAAAAGGCACATGACAGCCCGCTTGGAGTTTGCCAAAAGGCACCTAAAGCCTCTCAGACCATAAGAAACAAGATTCTCTGGTCTGATGAAATTACAAATGAACTCTTTGGCCTGAATACCAAGCATCACATCTGGAGGAAACCTGGCACCATCCCTACGGTGAAGCATGGTGGTGGCAGCATCATGCTGTGGGGATGTTTTTCAGCGCAGGGATGGAGACTGTTGATCGAGGAAAGAGAACGGAGAAAAATACAGAGAGATCTGATGAAACTGGAGCGCTAGACTACTGGGCGAGGTCACTTCACATGACAGACCTAGACACAGCAAGCACGCAGAGGGCTTCGGAAGTTGAGAGTGGCCAGCGAGCCGACGAACCGATAAAATCCTGGGAGACTGAAATAGCTGTGCAGACGTCCCCATCACCTGACCTTGGAGATCTGCAGAGAAGAACGGGAAACTCCCAAATACGGGTGCCAGCTTGTGGTCAACCAAAGAATCGAGGCTGTATCGCTGCCAAAGGGATTCACAAAGTACTAAGTGTCTGAATACTTATTAAATTGTCCGGGGGGGGGGGGGGGTTAAAATTAATTTGCAAAAATGTCTAAAAACCTGTTTTGCTTTGTCGTTATGGGGTATTGTGTGTAGATTGATGAGGAAAAACAATTTTTTCATCCATTTTAGAACAAGGCTGTAACATAACAAAACGTGGAAAAAGTCAAGGGGTCTGAATACTTTCCAAATGCACTGTGTCAATAAGCTACAGAAGAAAGAAAATAGGTTACATCATGTCACCTTCCCTTTTAGCTTAACACGTCTACAAAAAGAGGTTAACCTCCACGACTGAACAAACCTATAGGATCAGATAGTTAAAACAAAATGTTTATAGACATACCTCAAAATCCTCATTTTCCTCCACAAAAAAAGCTTCTCCGTTGTCCCCCAGCTTCATTTGCAGGTGAACTGGCTCCCCATTGATCTCAATGTCCACCTGCAACACACGGTCACTGGCAGTGTGTGTGTGTGTGTGTGTGTGTGTGTGTGTGTGTTTAAGAGAGAGAGTGTGCATGCGAGAGAAAGTGTGTGTTTATGTGAGAAAGGGTAAAAAAGTGTGTGTGTGTGTGTCTCTCTATCCGCTTATATACAGTACTCCTCCATTTGTAGGCAACACCACACACTCCCATCTTCTTCTTCACACTCACCACTTTCTCCTTGGAGCGCAGCACCCCAAGCTTGCCGAAGCGCACATGGAACGGCGAGCACTGGAGGCTGCCGTCGGGCTGGCGCACCACGATGACATCGATGGCCCCCGTGAGCGTGGCCGGGTTAAGGCCCCGGTATAGTTCCTTGACCGTCACAAACACAGTCTCCGCCAGCTGCCCCACGTAGTTCATGGTCTGGGACTGGAGGGGAGAGGAGAGAGTGGGTCAAGGGGCAATTATTGTCCAATGTTTACACAATTCTTTACCAATCAATCTTATTGAATTGAGAACACACGAGACCTCAAGAAAGCTACAAACAATATCAATGTCATGTGTTGTCATTATTAATAAGGCTAAAAAGAGATACAAGCTATCCTCTTTGTTTCCCCCCATCTAAGATATAAACTCAGCAAAAAAAAGAAACGTCCTCTCACTGTCAACTGTGTTTATTTTCAGCAAACTTAACATGTGTAAATATTTGTATGAACATAACAAGATTCAACAACTGAGACATAAACTGAACAAGTTCCACAGACATGCGACGCACAGAAATGGAATAATGTGTCCCTGAAGAAAAGGGGGGTAAAAATAAAAGTAACAGTCAGTATCTGGTGTGGCCACCAGCTGCATTAAGTACTGCAGTGCATCTCCTCCTGATAGATTAATTATTAATGACTAATTATTACACCCTGAAACTGTGTGGAATGTGTTAGAATGTGTGAGTGTAGGACCAGTAAAGACTATGACATTGAGCTACTATTCAGCAATGTGAGTAAGAGTTAGGCCAGACAAAAGGACAAGGAGAACTGTCTACAGACAACTGAGAAACTAAGATAAAGAGGCCTCCCAATTTAGGGAGGAGAGAAACGGTTATGAAAACATGGTGCAGAATATTGTGAGAACGGCAATAACTGAGGAATGCAGGGAGTAGGCTATGATAACAAAGTGTGTATGTATGTGTGTGTATGCATGTGTGTGTGTGTGTATGTACAGTGGGGAAAAAAAGTATTTAGTCAGCCACCAATTGTGCAAGTTCTCCCACTTAAAAAGATGAGAGAGGCCTGTAATTTTCATCATAGGTACACGTCAACTATGACAGACAAAATGAGAAAAAGAAATCCAGAAAATCACATTGTAGGATTTTTAATGAATTTATTTGCAAATTATGGTGGAAAATAAGTATTTGGTCAATAACAAAAGTTTCTCAATACTTTGTTATATACCCTTTGTTGGCAATGACACAGGTCAAACATTTTCTGTAAGTCTTCACAAGGTTTTCACACACTGTTGCTGGTATTTTGGCCCATTCCTCCATGCAGATCTCCTCTAGAGCAGTGATGTTTTGGGGCTGTCGCTGGGCAACACAGACTTTCAACTCCCTCCAAAGATTTTCTATGGGGTTGAGATCTGGAGACTGGCTAGGCCACTCCAGGACCTTGAAATGCTTCTTGCGAAGCCACTCCTTCGTTGCCCGGGCGGTGTGTTTGGGATCATTGTCATGCTGAAAGACCCAGCCACGTTTCATCTTCAATGCCCTTGCTGATGGAAGGAGGTTTTCACTCAAAATCTCACGATACATGGCCCCATTCATTCTTTCCTTTACACCAGGGGTGTCAAACGTCCGGCCCGCGGGCCGGATCAGGCCCGCAAACGGGTTTAATCCGGCCCGCGAGATGATAAAAAAAAAAAATATGAAAACAAATATATATATATATTATTAATTTTGTAAAGTATAAAAATGCGCTGCAATTTTTCAATAAAATAAACGGCTGTTCCAATTGCGTCCACTGGATGGCGCAATAGCAATTGTGTTAAGCAAGCAAACTGTTTATACCGGGGCAGAGCAAGTAGGTCAAGCACGTGCAGCCAATGAGCTACTTTGTTTTGCCCGCAATATTTATTATGGCTTCTACTTTTAACATTATGTGCTTTGGCACCCTCATTGCCCCAATATGTCTCTGTCAAAAAAGAGAAAAGTGGACGCAGAGTGCAGAGTGTTCCAAGAAAAATGGTCATCCTATTTATTCACTGAATTGAATGGGAAAGCTGTATGTTTGGTGTGTTCAGAGCATGTTGCAGTGCTGAAAGAATATAACCTTCGTCGCCACTATGTGAGTCTTCATGCCGACAAATATGACAACTTTCAAGGACAGCGGAGATGAGAGAAGGTGAATGAACTGTTGGCGGGTCTGAAGAAACAGCAGTCTGTGTTTACTCACAGCCGAGACATCAGAGACGCTGCAGTGAAAGCTAGCTACCTCATTGCTAATGAAATCGCAGTGGCTTCAAAACCATTTAGTGAGGGTGAATTTGTAAAAACATGCATGATGAAGGCAGCGGAGATTGTGTGCCCTGAAAAGCGGCAGGCTTTTGCAAATATCAGCCTGACAAGAAACACAGTTGCAGACAGGATTTCCGATCTTTCAGTGGATTTGGACAGCCAGTTGAAGCAAAAAGTAAAGTCATTTATTGCGTTTTCGGTTGCAATTGATGAAAGCACGGACATTACAGATGTTGCACAACTGGCCATTTTCATCCGCGGAGTTGATGACACATTGACCGTCACCGAGGAGTTCGTGGAGTTGGTGCCGATGACAGATACAACGACAGCAGCTGATATTTTTACCGCACTCGTCGGCGCGCTGGACAGGGTCGGAGTGGACTGGTCCCGCGCTGTCAGCCTGGCTACAGATGGTGCGCCCTCAATGATCGGGAAAAAAAGCAGGCGTTGTGACAAAGTTCAGAGAGAAAGTGCAATCTGCAAATGGAGGACGTGATTTTTTGACTTTTTACTGTATTTTGCACCAGGAGGCTTTGTGTTGCAAGTCATTAAAGATGGATAACGTCATGAAGGTGGTCATCCAAACTGTTAATTTCATCCGATCCAGAAGCCTGAATCACCGTCAGTTTGACAGCCTTCTCAGAGAGAAAGACCACATCTATGGCCTGCCATACCACACTGAGGTAAGATGGTTAAGCCGAGGTGCTGTGCTGAGGCGTTTCTTTGATTTACGAGAAGAAATTGAACAGTTCATGGAAGAAAAGGGCAAACCAGTGTTAGAATTTCATTCCGCAGAATGGATGCAGGACCTTGCATTTATGGTGGATGTTACAGAGCACCTGAATAACTTGAACAAACAGCTGCAAGGGTGCAACAAAGTTGTCACGCAGTATTATGACAGCATACGTTCTTTCAAGTTGAAGCTGTCATTGTGGGAGACGCAACTTGCCGGTGGTGATGCAGCTCACTTCCCCTGTCTGAAAAATGTGTGCGCGACCCAACATGTGGCAGACATGAAGCGGTTCAAAGATAAAATAACGGGACTGTTACGGGAGTTTGAGCAACGCTTTCAGATTTATGTTTTTATGTTTTTATGTTGATGTGCTATTGTTTTTAATTGATTTTATTTTATTTGTATATTTAACCTATTCTTGACTCTGTGGTTCTTGCACTTGTTTGGGGAACAGGATTTCATTATTTGTATCTACATTTCTGCCTGAGAAATGACACCCTGATATAGTTCTGTGATCTGTGAAACAGTTCTGTTAATCACTGAGGCATTGTGTGTTTGTGTGTTCTTTTTCTTTAGAATTTTCAAATAAACTTGACGTGTTTTATGATTAATAGTGATGTTGTGCTTGTACTATTTTGGACACACTGTCCTCAGGCTCCAGCTTTATGTTGTATGTTGATCGTATTAAAACAAAGAAAACAATCTGAAGTTGTTGTTTTTAAGTTATATATACCATGATTTTTCCGGTCCGGCCCACTTGGGAATAGATTTTCCTCCATGTGGCCCCTGAGCTAAAATGAGTTTGACACCCCTGCTTTACACGGATCAGTCGTCCTGGTCACTTTGCAGAAAAACAGCCCCAAAGCATGATGTTTCCACCCCCATGCTTCACAGTAGGTATGGTGTTCTTTGGATGCAACTCAGCATTCTTTGTCCTCCAAACACGACGAGTTGAGTTTTTACCAAAAAGTTATATTTTGGTTTCATCTGACCATATGACATTCTCCCAATCATCTTCTGGATCATCCAAATGCACTCTAGCAAACTTCAGACGGGCCTGGACATGTACTGGCTTAAGCAGGGGGACACGTCTGGCACGGAAGGATTTGAGTCCCTGGCGGCGTAGTGTGTTACTGATGGTAGGCTTTGTTACTTTGCAGGTAATTCACTAGGTCCCGCCGTGTGGTTCTGGGATTTTTGTTCACCGTTCTTGTGATCATTTTGACCCCACGGGGTGAGATCTTGCGTGGAGCCCCAGATCGAGGGAGATTATCAGTGGTCTTGTATGTCTTCCATTTCCTAATAATTGCTCCCACAGTTGATTTCTTCAAACCAAGCTGCTTACCTATTGCAGATTCAGTCTTCCCAGCCTGGTGCAGGTCTACAATTTTGTTTCTGGTGTCCTTTGACAGCTCTTTGGTCTTGGCCATAGTGGAGTTTGGAGTGTGACTGTTTGAGGTTGTGGACAGGTGTCTTTTATACTGATAACAAGTTCAAACAGGTGCCATTAATACAGGTAACGAGTGGAGGACAGAGGAGCCTCTTAAAGAAGAAGTTACAGGTCTGTGAGAGCCAGAAATCTTGCTTGTTTGTAGGTGACCAAATACTTATTTTCCACCATAATTTGCAAATAAATTCATAAAAAATCCTACAATGTGATTTTCTGGATTTTTTCTCTCTCATTTGTCTGTCATAGTTGACGTGTACCTATGATGAAAATTACAGGCCTCTCTCATCTTTTTAAGTGGGAGAACTTGCACAATTGGTGGCTGACTAAATACTTTTTTCCCCCACTGTATACTGAGATCATGTGACACTTAAATTGCACACAGGTGCACTTTATTTGACTAATTATGTGACTTCTGAAGGTAACTGGTTGCACCAGGTCTTATTTAGGGGCTTCATAGCAAAGGGGGTGAATACATATGCATGCACCACTTTTCCGTTATTTATTTTGTAGATTTTTTTGAAACAAGTAATTTTTTTCATTTCACTTCACCAAATTGGTTATTTTGTGTATGTCCATTACATGAAATTCAAATAAAAATCCATTTAAATTACAGGTTGTAATGCAACAAAATTGGAAAAACGCCAAGGGGGATGAATACTTTTGCAAGGCACTGTAAGCTTAAGCTTAGAAGAATCCCCACAAAAACTAGGCCAAAACCAAATAACAAAAACTATCAA